ACAGTTTAGGTTTCCTACATTGGCACCGTTTCCCATGGTGGTTTCCATGCCTAAGCCTCTGCCCCAGTAAGCCAAGATGCCCTGTATTCACCTGTTTATATCTTGGGGGCAGCAGCTTGCCCTGTGTCCTCACCACTCTTATGTATCCAGAAAGAGTTGTTGATTTTTTTAGCCTGTTCAGCATTTTACTTGTTAGGACAAAGTGGCAACTTCCAAACACTTTATATGTAGAAAGGGAAACCAGAAATTGATCCCAAGCTTTTTCATAAATAATCCAATAGCTTTTTTTAATGCCAAAATAATGTCAGGGATATACTTCCTCAACTCACAGAATAATAATGACCTATATTTGTTGAGCTCTTACCATGTGTCAGGCAGTGTGGTAAATGTCATATATATAATATATATATATATCTTTGTGCTATAATTTTAATTAGGAAAAGTAGAGATATAGGCCATTTTTTACTTCTGATTTATGAGATTATATAGATCTTCATTGGGGAGTCACCATCACTAAATTTTGGATTCCTTAAGGGTATGCAACTTTTTGTTGTCTCAGCTTAGTACAAAGTTAATACTCTACAAATACTCAAGAGAGTAATCTAAAGACTACATGGCCTATAATCTTTTGTTGTTCCTAGACAAGATTTCTACTTCTCCACAGTTATAAAAATCTAGATCCTCTGCATTAGGAAAAGGAAGTTGTGAAAATATATGAGAATTTGGTTCTTGCACTGGCATTTTAATAATTTTCTTTTAAGATTCTTTTTCAGATGGAGGGCTTGATCAACCATGAGTCAAGCCTGGATGAGTCAACATCTAGGGGAAAGATGTGTTCTCAAGAAATGCAGGATAAAAGTTATGAATATGACTTGGAGACAGACCAGAGTTTCAGGTTTCGTTTTCGCACCAACTGACCATGTGACTAAGCAAGCCGCTAAAGCTCAGTTCTCTCACTTGTAAAGTGAGAAATGGCATCTACTCATGGAGTCATTGAGAGGATTAAATAAGTTACACATATAAACAATGTTACCTAGTGCTTGGCATACAATGAGTGATTGATAAGTATTATTTGATAAAACATGACACCCTATCTTAGCTTAGGTTTGCCAGAAGTAGTCCCTGAGACAAGGATTTGTGCACAGGTAATTTACTAAGGAAGTTCTCAAGGAAAACACAATAAGGGGGTAGGTGAAGCTGTACAAGCAAAGACACCACATAGAGGTGTGATTACGGGCAAAGACCCAGTAAGGGCAGCATTGGGCTGATCCACAGGGATCTCTGGTGTGTAAGTTACACTTCAGAACTTTTCCCAGCCCAAGATACTATTCCTTCCAGGAAATAAAAAATGAAATCATAGACCACACATAAACCTTAATAAGAATTCATATCTCCTAATGAAGAAAGAAAATGGCCATTACTCTGTTAGCATGTAACTGACCCATGATTTAAAAGTTTCATGATGAAGACTTCACTGTCGCCGTAGAAATCAGAAGTTCTGACTTTCCTTGAACAATTCAGCATTGTCCAGCTAAATTCTCAGACCCTGGAATGAGATGTTAAAAAGATAAAAGACCATAAAACCAATACCCCCCTTTTTTTCCTGGTATTTTCATTCTCCCAATGAGCAATATAAAGAAACTCTTTCACTGATAAATGTATCATGGAAAAGTATAAATCAGTTTCTTTTATGGCTCTTGAAAAATGGTGTCATTCATTCAAATGTACTCCACTTTGGCTTATCACAGCCAATACACATCTTTTTAAGACAGAGATTAGAAGAGGGAATTATTAACCCAGTAAAGATAAGTTCACTGACGATTTTAAATGCTCACCCAAACTATCAATACTATATCAATTATTAATTTAACTTTAGATACTGTTTTCCTTTTTGAATTAAGATCTAATAACCAAATCAAACAAAAATAGCATTTTGAAGTTGAATAAATGTTTTTATACATAATAAATGCCTTATGAAGAAATAAAGCATAGTGATTATATTTGCAAAAATAAAATATTTACCAATATTTCCAATATTGCAGTATTGCATATACCAACCTAGAGAACTTTTTTTTTTTTTTAGTTGGAGTCTCACTCTGTCACCCAGACCGGAGTGCAGTGGCACATTCCCGGCCACCACAGCCTCGACCTGCTGGGCTCCAGTGATCCTTCCGCCTCAGCCTTCCAAGTAGCTGGAACTACAGGTGTGTGCTACCACACCCAGCTAATTTTTTTTTATTTATTGTAGAGATGAGGTCTTGCCAAGTTGCCCAGGCGGGTCTCGAACCCACGGGTTCAGGCAATCCACTCACCTCAGCCTCCCAAAGCGCGGGATTACAGGCTGAGCCACCGAGCCCAGCTGAGAACTTATTTTTAAAAGTGAAATAAAAATTCATATAGCCAAATCTGAAATTAACATATGATGTTCAAGGACACTGGTAGGGTTTTACCAAAACAGCCTCAGCATTAAATGAACCCAATACCCCAGTCTGGTGTAGAATGAGAGAGAAAATATCAAAATTAAAATTATAAACTATGGAGAAATAAATATCAAACACATTAGTGGAACAAAATAAGCCATTTAGACTGGGACACTATATATTAAAACTTGTGGAATATGACCAAAATAGTACTTCTTTTAGCACGTATTCCTCAACAACAATAAAAAAATAAGTTAACTAAGCAATTAACTTAAGAGGCTAGAAATAGAATTAAATTATAAACCAAAATTAATAAAAGCGATGAGAGTCAATAAATGCGATATTAATGAACTATAAGCACCATCAACAATAACAACCAAAAGTAATAAAAATAATTTGTAAATACATAATTTCTGGGACTAGTAAAGGTATGGGAGAAAGCTTTTCTCACATTTTATAATCTCCAAAATTGGAAACTTAAATACATATAAATGATCAAGCATAAGGGAATTCTTAAATTATTATTACTCTGTGTTATAAAGTTACATTCAATATTTTAAAAGAATCAAATTATTCCATAGGTTTTTTTTATTTAAACATTTTTTTACTTTATTTTATTTTAATTTTTTTGAAAAACAATAATTTTATTTTTTTTAACTTTTAAATTTTTTTATTTTAAAATTGTGGGGTACAATTCAAGGTTAGGTAAACAAATATTCATTGTGCAGGTACCCGTGTTGATGAGGTATGTACCCCTTCCCCAGGCAGTTTTCCACTACCACCAATCCCATGAGTACTATTATAGACTAGATTTCCTAACCTCATGCATGCACAAACTAACTTCAGGATTGTTGTCATGTTCTTATACTCATTCTACTATTATTCTAGTATTTCTTTTCACATCAATTCATTTGAAAAGTAAACAAATAAATCAATAAAACTACCATATGATCCAACAATCTAACTACTGGGTAATTTTACAAAGGAAAGAAAATCAGTATTTAAAAAGGATTATCTGTTCTTCCATGTTTATTGCAGTACTAGTTCACAATAGCCAAGATATGGAATCAACCTTTGTCCATCAGCAGATGAATAGATTTTTGAAAAGTGGTATATAAACCGGGTTCGGTGGCTCAGCCTGTAATCCTGCACCTTTGGGAGACTGAGGTGAGTGGATTGCCTGAGCCCACGGGTTCGAGACCTGCCTGGGCAGCGAGACTTCATCTCTACAATAAATCAAAAAATCAGCCGGGCGTGGTAGCACATGCCTGTAATTCCGGCTTCTTGGAAGGCAGAGGCAGAAGGATCGCCGGAGCCCAGCAGGTCGAGGCTGCAGTGGCCAGGAGCGGCCACTGCACTCCAGTCTGGGTGACAGAGTGAGACTCCAACTAAAAAAAAAAAAAGTGGTATATATACACAGTAGAATACTGTACAACCACAAAATATGAAATCCTGTCATTTACAGCAGCCTGGGTGGAACTGGAGGTCATTATGTTAAGTGAAAGAAGTTACATCTAGATTTCCTTTTATTCCATTTTCAGTCTTCTTTTGGGTTTCTGATGAGTCCTGGCCTCTTTTGCTGCTGGAACAAGACATTCTTAATTCATCATCACATCTCCTACCCTAACCCCCTTTATCTTTTTTTTTACAACTTGTTACATTACACTTATTACATTACTTGCCTAATAAAACCGCATTAAGTCAATGGTCTCTTAGTAAAAATGCTGGGTTCAGGTCCTGACTGCCATTTACTAGCTGTGTGATCTTAGCAAGTTATTTAAACTCTGTGTGTCTCAGTTTCTCCACACATAAAGATAATATGCATACTTACCTTAGAGAGCTGCAGTGAGGATAAAGCAAATCTCTGCTCTGATAAGAACTAAAACAATGTTAACTATTAATATTATTTATTCTGCCTGAATAGTAACAAGCAAATTACCAGATAAAGGTTTTGATATGCTGTATAAAAACTAATTCTATTCATACTTTACTAGGTAGAATTTTTTTTACGTTTACTAATTTGACTTTATCACATTTTTCTAAACTTATTAAAGTCTTTAAAATTCGTAATTTGAGACTCAAATCCATCTTACCTAATTTGGTGTTATTTACATTTAATAATCTTTTATCTCTTTCCTTATTTATACCATTGTAAATAATGTAAATAATAAATTGCTTCATAAAACTGAAGGACAACATTATATTATGGTGTCTGTTCATTTCATTATTGATTTTTTAAAATTAATTTTCACATTTCTACTCTACAGAAAATACATAGTATATGTCTGTATTTAGAAAACTAACCCCAAATTAGGAAGTTTAGAAAACGTGTCCCAAGAGGAAAATTTTATCTTTTATACAAATATTTATAAAATATATTTTATAAAAAGATCAAATATCTTGTTTGTTCATCACTTTTGCAATAACATATAATAAAACAATTATGCAAATTGACGTCAAATATCTTCACAATTTGTAATGATAACTTTTACACAGTCAACATCCAATAATCAGCCAACACTAATCATTTTCATGAGTGTATGAACAGGAAGAGAAGGAAGATATAAAGCCCTCTTGCACAAACCAGCACTGGAGCCAGAAACAACTAGGGAGCAGAGAGGAACAATGGGGTTATTCAGAGATTCTATTTTCCTCGTGGTGCTCTATCTGATGCATGGGTCAAATAGTTCCTTTGTTAAGCTGAATAACAATGGTTATGAAGACATTATCATTGCTATAGATCCTGGTGTACCAGAAGATGAAAAGATAATCGATCAAATAAAGGTAAGAAAGAAATTAGATATTTTTTCAAATGTGTATTATTATGGTTAATTGACACATAATTGTTGTGCATATTTACAGGATACAAAGTGATATTTCAATACATGTAAACACTGCATAATGACCAAATCAGGGTAGTTTATTCATCACCTCATTTCTCTCTTCTTTGTGTTGGGAACATTGGCATTCTTCTCTTCTAGCTGTTTTGAAATATACAACAAATTACTGTTAACTATAATTTCCCTACTATGCTATCGAATACTAAAAGGTATTCTTCCTATCTAACTGTGTTTTTGTATGCATTAAGCAACTACTCTGCATTCTTCCTCTCCTGCCACCTTTCTCAGCCTCTACTACCCACCATTCTACTCTCTGCTCACTTTTTTAGCTTCCACATGCAAGTGAGAACATGCAGTACTTATCTCTCTGTACCTGGCTATTTCACTTAAATTCACAAATGACGTTTTCATTTTTTCAAATACACTTTCTTTACCATCCATCTGGTGATGGACACTTGTGTTAACTCCATATCCTGGCTATTGTGATTAGTGCTGTAATAAACATGGGGGTGTAGATACCTCTTCAACATACTGATGTCCTTTCCTTTAGAAATATACTCAGCAGTGGGATTGCTGAATCATACGGCTATTCTATTTTTAGTTTTTAGTTTTGAGGAACCTCCATAGTGTTTTCCGTAATGGCTGTACTATATTAAATTCTCACTAACAGTATATGAGTTCCCTTTCTCTACATCCTTGCAGGCATTTTTTTTTTTTTTTTTTTGGGTCTTTCAGTAATAGTCATTCTAACTTCGGTGAGATGATATCTAATAGTGGTTTTGATTTGCATTTCCTTGATGATTAGTGATACCGAACATTTTTTCATATATTTCTCAGGCATTTGTACATCTTCTTATGAGAAATATTAATTCAGATTATTTGCCCATTTGTAATCAGATTTTTATTATTGTTATTATTTTCTGTTGAGTTGTTTGAGTTCCTTCCATATTCTGGGTATTAACTCCTTTTCAGATGACTAGGTTATAAATATTTTGTCCTAAGAAATGAGATTTCATCTGTTTGAATTATGAAGAAGATAAAGTTAATAGTTAATAATTATTGGAAACTTCTGAATGCTCCGGGAAGTTAGAAGCAGCATGCTGCAGCAAAGACAAAGTTGCAATGGGCAGAGAGAGACAAAGGTCTTAGATGGGGCTCTCTACTGTCTTACCACAAGATGGAAGACAAGGCACAGGACTCCCTGATCCTGTCTCTTCACCTGTAAATTAGCAGTAAGACTCCTTTGTTCTTTGAAGCATTATTTACCGAATGCTTATGGCATACTAGAGGAAGAACAGTAAATTTTTTTTAAAGCTTCTGGCTTCCTGGAGTATATATTCTTTTCAGAGCTACAGTTAGTAAAAATAAGTAAATGAGTAACTGGTCAGATGGTAGCTGGTTACTGTGGAGTAAAACAAATAAGGAACGGGGCATATGGTGTGTTAGGTGAGGCGGGGTTAGGGGAGAATGTGGATTACATTTCACGTAGGGCAGAGAAGACCTCACTGATGATGTGACATCTGAGCAGAGACCCCAGATGAGTGAGAGAAAACTCGGGGAATGGGAAGAGCATGGTGACAGCATGTTTGATGGGACCAGGGAAACGACTGTGAATGAGCAAGAAGGGAGGGTAGGGTGAGCTGAAGTGAGAGAGGTGTCAGGGCCCAGAACACTGAAGAGACTTTGGCTTGTGCTCTGAGTGAGATGAGAATCCTTGGAAGGATCTGAGCAGACAAGGGCTGTGCCTTCATGCGTGTTCTAGGATCACTCTGACTGCAATGTTGAGGAAACTTGTCACTCAGCTTGTAGCATCTTTGTGGCAGCTGATAGGTGTGGAAGGATCCCAAGTAGGAGACTTGCAGATGAACAGTGACAGTGACTAGAAATGGAGAGGTTGTCAGAGAGATCGTTAAAGTGGTGTGATTCTGGATATCTTTTGAGAGTATCATAGAAAAAAATGTCCTGATGATTTAGATGTGTAAAAGCAGAGAAAGGTAGGAAGACAATATAGCCATCAAGACAGACTTCAAGAGTTTTGCCAGAATGGAATCATTATCAATTGGGAATGGGAAGACGAAAGTGGAGAAAACTCGGCAGTTGGAAAATCAGGAGTGAGCCGGGACATTTTGAATGGACAACGGTGCTTGTGAAGCATACAAGTAGGTGGAGGCAGGAATCTAAATTCAGGATGAAAATTTTGGTGAAGTTGGGTGTGGTGGCTTTCGCCTGTAATCCCAGCACTTTGAGAGGCCTAGGCTAGAGGATCTCTTGAGCCCACAGGTTCGAGACCAGCCTGGGCAACATGAGGCGACCTCATCTCTACAATCAATCAAAAAATTAGCCAGGAGTGGTGGCACATGCCTATAGTTCCAGTTACCTGGAAGGCTGAAGCGGAAGGATCTCCTGAACCCAGGAGGTTGAGGCTGCAGTGGCCGTGAGTGTACCACTACACTCCAGCCTAGGTGACAGAGTGAGACTCCAACTCAAAAGGAAAACAAAATTGGGGTGGAGATAAAAAGGTTAAGTGCAGACAGAGCAAGAAAGGGCTCCAGGACCAAACCAAGGACACTTATTTATTTATTTATTTCCTTCTTTCTCTCTTTCTTTTGTTGGGGTCTCACTCTGTCGCCCTGGCTGGAGTGCATTGGCACAAACACGGCTCCTTGCAGACTTGACTTCCCGGGCTCAGGAGATTCTTTCACTTCAGCCTCCCAAGTGGCTGGGACTACAAGAGTGCACGACCATGCCTGGATAATTTTTTGATTTTTTTGTAAAGATAAGGTATCGCTATGTTGCCCAGGCTGGTCTCAAACTCCTGGACTCAAACAATCCTCTAACCTTGGTCTTCCAAAGTGCTGGGATTATAGGCATGACCCAGCACACCCAGCCAGCCAGGACACTGATTTCTTACTTTTTTTTTTTCTTTTTGAGTTGGAGTCTCACTCTGTCGCCCAGACTGGAGTGCAGTGGCTACTCCCGGCCACCACAGCCTCGACCTGCTGGGCTCCGACGATCCTTCTGTCTCAGCCTTCCAAGTGGCTGGAACTACAGGCACGCGTTACCACGCCTGGCTAATTTTTCGAATTATTGTAGAGATGAGGTCTCGCCAAGGTGTCCAGGTGGGTCTCGAACCCACGGGCTCAGGCAATTCACTCATCTCAGCCTCCCAAAGCACGTGATTATAGGCTGAGCCACCGAGCCCGGCTCAGGACACCGATTTCTAATGTTTCTTCCAACTATAATATTCCATGTAATATAGAGATTGGTGTTAGCACCATGTACATTCTTTCCCTGTCCCTGATATCAGAATCTTCTCCATTACTGAATCCTTATGTTCACTGTTGTATCCCTCTGCACGGTGACACCCAACAAAAGCTGATGGACATGACCCAGGTTGTGATTAGGGGATCTTGGGGCTACCATTTGTCACTATAATATCCAAACAGGATATTACAGGAATTCTGAGAAGGAATTTAGAAGTCATATTATAAGAATTCTGCTTAGAAAGCCTGTGGGAACCATTATAAGCCATCCTAACATAGCCCAGGACATGACAATCAACCTTCTGAAGTCTTTCTACTATGTGAAAACATACTACATGATTGTCCAAGTCAGTAACCTGGGCCGTAGAGACTGCAAAGTAAATGGAATCCCTTGGAGTTGTACAATGCACAACCCACACAAACATATGCAGCAGGCCTGCTTGTTCAATTCATAACTCAACTGGACCACTAGACACGCTCTTGTCTCATATGCCTAGAGAGCCATCACTTCAAGCAGAAGGTGACAAAAGCTTGAGATTTAAATATTTTTAAACAAAAAAGAGGAGAGGCATCCTTTGGGAACAAAGGGACAATTATTTCATCTGCTCTAGGTCAGTGCTGAAATAACCTACACCCTACTTTGGGAGCCCTTCAAAGCCCTTTTCCTGATTCCCAGACAGCCCTCTGGGCCTTCCATTCTCTGAACTCTGGCCCATGGTTCTGAATACAATGAGTCTGCTGACGGCATGCAGTACTTATGAATCAGCACACTGGACCCTCTTAAAGAGAATCAAGAAAAGATTCCTAGAATTCCTGAAGAAGAACAGTTCTATTGTGGGCTTGTGTTCAATCAGGAAATGTCAAGGAGGAGCCTTCCTTGAAGAAAACACTAGAGACTGGAATGTTTTCAGCAAGATGCAGAGGTTGACATCATCAGCCAGCACCCAGGAGGACTCCTCAGTTACGGTCATGATCACAGAGAATCAACCACTAAGCCAGGCTCGGTGGCTCAGCCTGTAATCCCGTGCTTTGGGAGGCTGAGGTGAGTGGATTGCCTGAGTCCCGGATTCGAGACCCGCCTGGGCAACTTGGCAAGACCTCATCTCTACAATAAATCAAAAATCAGCTGGGCATGGTAGCGCACGCCTGTAGTTCCAGCTACTTGGAAGGCTGAAGCGGAAGGATTACCAGAGCCCAGCAGGTTGAGGCTGCGATGGCTGGGAGTGGTCACTGCACTCCAGTCTGGGCGACAGAGTGAGACTCCAACTCAAAAAAAAAAAAAAAGAGAATCAACCACTAAGTGCCTTTCACCCATATATTTCCCATCCTAGATAGTAAGCTCTAGAGAGGGACTATTTATCTTATGAGTCATTCTATCTGGGATCATACATTCTGAATATTAATGATGTTATTTTCAGCTTGGTGGCAGAGTAACAGTTCTGGGGTCAAAATTTTGCCTCTACTATGGATTTTTCCATCACCCAACCCCCCAGGTTCCCAACCCAGTTGCCTCTCCTAGAGGTAGGGTGGTTAATGGAAACCTATTTTATGATCCATTCCTATAGACTCTCCTCCCAGCTTGCATCAACGAAGGCTGTTCTCTATTTAATATTTCTGACAGACCGTAATGATATGAAACAGTTCTAGGATTGCCTATGTGTAGAGTACTTTATAACTGATTCTATCTTTATGCCAACCACACAGATAGGTAGCAATAGTCCATTAAAGGAAACTGAGCTTCAAATTATTATGTAAATCAACCCAGAACATGCTAATACCAGCTTTGGAATCAAGTTAATGACTCCAGAGTCCATGTACAACTCGACAGTAATCAAAGCCAAGTACAAGCATTTGCTTTTGAGGCAGGATTCTAGAAGACTATAGAGGCTTTCAATGTGCAGGATTAAGGGATAGTTTGGGATTGACAGGGGTCAGAGTTGGAATAGGGAGGCAGAGACTCAGCTCATCAATTGGTTGCTTTTTCGTTAAGTAGGGAAATGCCTGGTACAAACCCCTGCTCATTGAGTTCACTCTCCCTTGGCCATCCTCACATATTTCTTTTCCTTAATAATAGGATATGGTGACAACAGCTTCTACTTACCTGTTTGAAGCCACAGAAAAAAGGCTTTTTTTCAAAAATGTATCTATATTAATTCCTGAGTCTTGGAAGGAAAATCCTCAATATAAAAGGCCAAAACATGAAAACTACAAACATGTAAGTGTCAAGAAATCTTCTTTTAAAAAATCATATTTTTGATGCTCCCCAGTTTATCCACAAATTGATTGTTTCTAGCTGAATATTGTCATTTCTATTTTTGATGACTTAACAATCTCTATAAATGTTCACAGGCTGATGTTATAGTTGCACTACCCACCCTCCCAGGGAGAGATGAGCCATACACCAGGCAGTTCACAGAATGTGAAGAGAAAGGAGAATACATTCATTTCACCCCTGACTTTGTACTTGGAAAAAAACAAAATGAATATGGGCCATCAGGTAGGAATTTTGGTTAATACATAATTTCACAATGATTGCACCATGCAGCTCTGTGCCCAGGCCAAGTCTGTAGACTGTTGAGCCAGAGTACCTCATATCAGATCTGGCACCCCTACTTATTAGCTGGGTGTGTGTGCTCTCTCTGTGCTTAGACCCTAAAAGGGTGAATAAAGAGGTTTATACCTTATAAAATATTTGTTCTACATTAAACTGATAATCCAGATAAATGTACTCAGTACAGTGTCTACAAAAAATTTGAACACAGAGAGCAGCACTAATAAATACTTTTTCTAAGGCAGACTCTTTAGATGTTTATTTTTGTTTGTCCATGTAACAGTTCTCCATAGCTGGATATTAACAAATCACATGCAAGCCCCATAGAAGCCAAATGTGTAGCAAACTGGAAAGAGACATGATGCCTGTTACTGGTCAAGAGAAAACACTCATAGGCTGATATTATTAACCTATTTGGTTGAAACAGATGAAATTGTCTATAATTAATCATTTTGACCCATAAAGTGGTAATTTCATCTAGTTCAATCTAAACATTAATATCATTTATCCAAACTAAAGCACATTATTTCACAGATAAAAATACAGATCATTGTCAAAAGAGAGTCTACATACGTGTTGCTACTCAATGAAAACCTTCCTGAATCCCCCTACTCCAGAATCACCCCCCGTCTTCTATTCCCTGTTCATTGCTCACTCATTATGTCTCTCGTCTCTGCCAAACACTCGGTGAGCCCTGGTCCCCATCATTACCTGAACTGATTTCCCACTCCCATCTTGAATGCTCCATCATCTCTTCCCATCCCAATCTTACCTCTCCCCATCTGTTATCCTGACCGTGTTTGTTCTCCTCAGCACCTCTCATCTTTGTGCCCTGTAAACTACACTTTCTTTTCTACTTGGCATGCCCAACAAAGTCAGTCATTTCAACTACAAATATAAATAGTTCCATTCCCTCATCACTCTTATTCTTACATTTCAATCCATTGACTAAATCCCCAGTACTGATATTGAATTATTCAGCCATTTTATTTTTGGCTTCTGTTATGTTTCCAAGACTGCTGAAGAAAATTATAAAGCTAATTGACATTATTACAAAAGCACATTTTCCAAGCTCAGTGAAACTCTCAAAGCTACCCAACAATATTTCCGCTTGACTCTTCTCAACTTCCTTTGTCATTTCCTATAGCAGCTGTTCTAAAACATCTAGTATTTTCCTCAGAATCTCTAGCTACTCTTCTCAATCCCATCAATCAAAGCCCTGATTGAGAAAACGGAGGCCTCTATGTTCTTTCTCCCTATTTTCAAACTCGTTACCACCTACACCTCCTCTACCTCCACCTGTTTTAGAAAAGGAAGGCTCCTCCAATTTAGAAGGTCAGTGTCCCTATCTGAGTTCTCGAACTTTTCCCATATCCCACACGTTTTATATTATATTACTGACAGTCCCCCACTTCCTCTTAGACAGATCTTTCTTCCACAATGTGACAGATGTGCTTGTGAAAAGACTTACATCCTACAAACCATGTCCTAAAAACAATATGACTTTTGGAAAAACAAGATCAGGAAGACAGCTCTCAAAATTACACAATTTTGTAATAATAACGATAACAACAATAATAGGTGCCTAAAAGATCATTTGGAAGACCTAGGCAGTAATTCAGGTTGGCTGGAGAATGCATAGCACATATTAAAAGCACACACACGCACACACGTGCGCGCGCGCGCACACACACGGTGAAATACTATTAGAAATGAGAACCGGGCTAGCTTGAAATGAGACAATGTAGGTGGGACTGGAATGCTATGTCAAAGGGGCTGCTTTTACGGTGCATACAGGAGGCAGGACAACCTGAGACAGAAGGAAGACTGAGAGTGAACCTCTCTAAGAAGAGAGCCACGTATAAGGAGTTTTAAATTGTCTTAAAATTCATCAAATCCCTACTGCAGTAGTTGATATGAGGGATTTTTCCTGCCATACTAAACATTATAATTCTACTCCCACCAATCTGGTTCCATTGGCCTGGGAAAACTTAAACTAGCGATTTTTGTTTTTGTTTGGGGTTTTTTTAAATTTGTTTGTTTTTTGGCTTTGTTTTTGAGTTGGAGTCTCACTCCGTCACCCAGGCTGGAGTGCAGTGGCATGCTCACGGCCACCACAGTCTCAATGTGCTGGGCCCAGGTGATTCTCCATCTCAGCCTTCCAAGTAGCTGGAATTACAGGCATATGCCACCCTGCCCAGCTAATTTCTTTCTTTCTTTTCTTTTTGATTCATTGTAGAGATAAGGTGTCACCAAGTTGTCCAGGCTGGTCTCAAACCTGTGGGTTCAGGCAATCCTCTCATCTCTGCCTCCCAAAGTGCTGGGATTAAAGGCGTGAGCCACCTTGCCCAGCCTAACTATGTTTTTAAAGGTTAATGTTCAGAGGAATAACTTAGGAATCTCATTAACATGCAGATTCTGATTCAGGAGGTAGAGAGTGGGCTGAAGATTCTGTATTTCTGACAAGCTCCCAGGTAATGCCGATGGTGTTGGTCCAGGACTACATTTAGAGTAGCAAGGAACTAAAGAAGAAACATGAATCCTTCATAACACAGGTATTTCCCCCCAATTTTCAGATATCATTTCAGGTAGTTTGAGCTACCGGACTACACACTGTAGCAGAACAGACTTTATTTCTAATCTCTTCTTCATTTCTGTTTCCTCTGAAGTTTTTCCCAACATTGCTAACACAAAAGTTCTGCTTGCTTCTTTTTGCATCTTAAGCTGTGGATTTACCTTTATTCTTCCATTCACCCTGAAATTCTTATGAAAAAAAAATTTATTCTAACTCCCTCTCTCAAAACTTCTCCAAGTCACGCATCTTTTTATTTCTAAATACCTAGTATTGCATTGAATATAAATATAATTAATGATAACAGTTTTATATAATTACTGCTTATATGTGCTAAATGCCACAAATGAATCACTTCATTTTGACATCCCCCAAATTATATATGGTCCACAACAGTGTTTCTCAATTTTTTAAAATAATCAACTACATAAGGAGAATTTTTAAACATTTTTTTTTCCCTAATTGCATCCCAATGGTATGTTAGTACCACATACAGATGGCATATCTGATTTTGTTGGCTAAGATTTGGAGAGCCATAAATCATTTAATACCCAAGATTTTTTACTTCTAAGAACCAAAATACAAATCACAGTCCACAATGCATAGCAAATAGTCCATTAACACTTTATTGGTTTACCACATTGTAGAATAAGAAGATACTATACCACATAGTATAACAATACAATGTAATTTAACACAACGCACTTTTTTATAAACCAAAATATAAATGTTGGCAACTGTTCAAAACCTAAGTCCAAATGTATTTTGTGCTTGAAAGGAAAGCTTTTTAATATGTTTGAGATACAAAAACTGTCATTTGAATTGTGGTTGTATATTTCAAATGCTTTTTCAGGTAGACTGTTTGTCCACGAGTGGGCGCATCTCCGGTGGGGAGTGTTTGATGAGTACAACGAAGATCAGCCTTTCTACAGCTCGAAGTCAAAAAAAATTGAAGCAACAAGGCATGGCGAATTAAATTATCTAAACTGACTTTAGGCTTTTAACTGTTCTTATTTTTCCTATTTTGATTTATTTCAAATGACAATCACTCGTTTTTTCCCAATGCAGACAATAGATGCTATGTCACAAAACTATGCTTTTATTTATTTTATTTTTTATTTTTTTAATTTTTTTATTTTTTTTGAGTTGGAGTCTCACTCGGTCGCCCAGACTGGAGTGCAGTGG